CTGAACTGAACTGTGATTTATTGCAAAGCATGTACTCGTTATTATTCATGTTCTTCTCTTTGGTTGCATGCCTCCCTTTGACCTCATGCATCGTATCATGATATGGTGTGATGCGTTACGTTGTTGTTATTTGTTGTTATGTGCTGTTTGGCTGTTATTTGTTGTTATGTGCTGTTTGGCTGTTATTTGTTGTTATGTGCTGTTTGGTTGTTATTTGTTGTTATGTGCTGTTTGGTTGTTATTTGTTGTTATGTGCTGTTTGGTTGTTATTTGTTGTTATGTGCTGTTTGGTTGTTATTTGTTGTTATGTGCTGTTTGGTTGTCATTTGTTGTTATGTGCTGTTTGGTTGTTATTTGTTGTTATGTGCTGTTTGGTTGTTATTTGTTGTTATGTGCTGTTTGGTTGTTATTTGTTGTTATGTGCTGTTTGGTTGTTATTTGTTGTTATGTGCTGTTTGCTTGTTATTTGTTGTTATATTATTGGACGTGTTGTGCCGTACCATCGCATGCAGTGGTGGGAGAAGAGCGATTGGACCGGGTACAAGGAGCTAGGTAAGCATGTCATTCTAACACGATTGCAATGCGTTGCTCTGTAACCATCCGTGTAACTGCTAGGAGCAGCGAGAAACCATTGTGACCCCTCTTCTCACTCCCACTACCCTTCCCACCCATCTTCCACGTCCTCCTCCCTGGAAACTGTACAGCAGGGAGAGGATCTCCCTATGCTTCCCAAACCCTCCCCCTCTCTCCCACACTCCCTTCCTTCTTACCCCCCTCCCTCCCCCTTCCTTCCCGACCCCACCCCGCGCCGGCCCTCCGCTCTTTCCCTCCGCTCTGCAGGTGCAGAGAAGAGTGGGCGGAACGCTGTGGGCGCTAGCTGGTGGGAGACATGGCAGGAGGTGCTAAGGACAGACGAGTGGAGGTGAGGGAGAAGGGGGTTGCAGTGGGGATTGTGAGAGGGAAATATGTGGGAGTGTGTGAAAGGGTCTGGGTGGGCGAGGTGACTTTTGAGTATACTCAAAAGTCAGGCGAGGGGTTGGGGATTGTGAGAGGGAAATACGTGGGAGTGTGTGAAAGGGTCTGTGTGGGCGCTAGCTGGTGGGAGACGTGGCAGGAGGTGCTAAGGACGGACGAGTGGAGGTGAGGGAGAAGGGCGAGGGAGAGAGTGATGGAGTGTGGGAATGTGTGAGGGAGTGTGTGTGTGTGTGTGTGAGAGAGAGAGAATGTGGGAATGCGTGTGGGTGTGTGTGTGTGTGTGTGTGAGAGAGAGAAAGAGAGAGAGAGAGAGAGAGAGAGAGGAGAGAGAGAGAGAGAGAGAGAGAGAGAGAGAGAGAGAGAGAGTGGGAATGCGTGAGGGATTGTGTGTGTGTGTGAGAGAGAGAATGTGAGAATGCGTGTGGGAGTGTGTGTGTGTGAGAGAGAGTGTGGGAATGCGTGAGGGAGTGCGTGTGCGAGAGAATGTGGGAATGCGTGTGGGAGTTTCCAGGGCGCTAGCTGGTGGGAGACATGGCAGGAGGAGCTACGGACGGACGAGTGGAGATGAGGGAGAATGGGGAGGGGGATGAGATGGGAGAATGAGGGAGTGCAAATTGGAGTGTGTATGAGATGAGAGAATGAGGGAATCTGTGAGGCGCTCCTTCCTTCCTCCCCCCCTGCACCCCCTCCCCATTCCCCCCTCTTATCCCCACCCTCCCCGCACCGTGGCATCGGCCGCATCGAGCTCAGCGTTCATAAGCAGGCCAAGTGCAGAGATCGTGTCTTTTTCCTCCCTAACCCTCCTCCCTCTTTCCCGTCACCCCTTCCCCCTCCCCCCCCCCCCCCCACTCACTCACACACCATTGGCATCGTGCGCATGGAGCGCAGTGCGCACAAGCAGGCCAAGTCCCAGGGTGGTCTCTCTCTCAAGCCCATATCTCCCACCCTTACCACCTGCATCAGTGCCCCCGCTCTTCCTCGAATGCCCCCCCCACCAGTGGCATCGCCCGCATCGGGCGACGGGCGCAGAACGCACAAGCAGGTCAAGTCTTGTGTGCGTGTGGCCAAGTCCTGCTCACACCCCCTCCCGGCCCCCTCTCACTAGTTTTGAGGCGCCTCAAAAACCCTCTCACTAGTGGCTTCGAGCGCACATCGAGCGCACATCGAGCGCACATCGAGCGCACATCGAGCGCACATCGAGCGCACATCGAGCGCACATCGAGCGCACATCGAGCGCAGTGCGCACAAGCAGGCCAAGTCCTGTGAATGCGCTTCCCCCATAACGCCCTCCTGCTTACACCCCTCCTCCCCCCTCCTTCCCCCTCCTCCTGTCTCCAGTGGCATCGCGCGCATCGAGCGCAGTGCGCACAAGCAGGCCAAGTCAAGAACGGACGCCTGGACTGAGAAATGGTGCGTTGGGGGAGAGGGGGGGGGGGGGGGGGATGTTGAGGAGGAGTGGGGAGTTGTAGAAGCTGGGGGAGGGGAGTTGAAGTGAGTTGAGGGGAGTTGAGGAGGAATGTTGCACTCTGACAATCTGTTCTCCTTCCCTCTCCTCTCCCTCTCCTCCCCCTCTCCTCCTCCTCTCCTCCCCCTCTCCCTCCTACCAGGTGGGAGAAGTACAATTAGAGGGGGTGGACGGAGAAGGGCGCGTACAAGTTGCATCCTAGGGCTCGTTTCAACTCCCCTGCACCGTATCCCTCTTATCATATTCTCCCTCGTGCTGCCCAAACTCTCCCTTCTTGTACAACTTGTCTTGTACGCTCCCTTCTCTGCACCGTATTCATTTTTCATATTCTATTCTCCCCTATCTCGCAGGTGGGAGAAGTACAACGAGAGGGGATGGACAGAGAAGGGAGCGTACAAGTTTGGGCGGCACGAGGGGCAGTCGTGGTGGGAGAAGTGGGGCGAGCAGTACGACGGGCGGGGGGCGGTGCTCAAGTGGTGAGTTACACTGTAACTAATAGTGAAATACGTGTTAATGCATATGCATATGCATACACACACACACACACACACACACACACACACACACACACACACACACACACACACACACACACACACACACACACACACACATATATATATATATATCGACCAATGAAGCTTTTCGCACAACAGTTGTGGTGGGAGAAGTGAAGCGAACCAAACGAGGCGCCGATGTGTGGGGATTTAGTTGTAGTGGTGATGAATTTGGTTGAATTTGAGATATACACATGTAGTTGCATAGTAAGTAGTGTATAAATATATACACATTCATATTATGCATGTTTGTGGCATGGCAGGACGGACAAGTGGGCCGAGCAGGATGACGACGGCAGCAAGTGGGGCGACAAGTGGGAGGAGCGGTTTACCAACGGCGTGGGCAGGCGGCAAGGGGAGACATGGCACCTCTCGCCCTCTTCCTCCCGTGAGTCGCCTCTCTCCCTCTGCTGCTCGTGGTTAGTCGCCTCTTGCTCCCTCTGCTGCTGGTTAGTCGCCTTTCTCTTTGCTGTGTTGAAGAAGCAAGTGGGGCGACAAGTGGGAGGAGCGGTTCACCAACGGGGTGGGACGGAGACAAGGGGAGAGGTGGCACCTCTCCCCTACTTCCTCCCGTGAGCCCCCTCTCATCCTCTACTACTTTCAGGCCACCTCTCGCCCTCTGTACCAGTTGCAAACCACTACCTGCCCTCATGCTCCCTACCTGCTCTCATGCCCCAACCTGCCCTCATGCCCCCTACCTGCCCTGCAGGGTGGTCAAGAACGTGGGGAGAGGAGCACTATGGGAACGGGTAAGAGTGTGCTTGAAGTCAGTCATCTTTTGGTAATGGGCTTTAATTTGCATCCTCTTTCTTCTGTGAGATCCGTGAGCTTTGAGCTTCAAGGGATTTCAAGCTTCAATATGCATGGGGCTTGGTATGTAGCGCTTACAAAAGAATTCTACGATTATCGTCTTCCGTTTTCCTCCTACCCCTTTCCATCATCCTCTCGTTTCGCTTTTATGCAGCAAGATGCACAACACAAGTGCGGCAAGAGCACGAGTTGCGAGGGGTGGGGCCTCCCCTTTCCCACCCTCACCTCCCCCTCCTCTCCCTTTCCCCATCTTCTCCCCTCACCAACCTCCCATGGCAGCAAGGTGCACAAGTACGGCAAGAGCACGAGTGGCGAGGTGTGGGACGTGGTTGTGGATGAGCCGACCTACTACGAGTGAGTGGACCTCGTTGGCACTTAGGGGAGTAAACGCCCATGTGTGTGTGGGCGCACCCATGTGTGTTTGCTGCAGTGAATTCCAGTCTCTGTCTCTTTGGTGCAAGGAGCAGCACGAGTGGCGAGGTGTGGGACGTGGTGGTGGATGAGCCCACCTACTACGAGTGAGTGGGTTCCGTTGAGAGTCTTAATTCACAGAGGCGCTGCCGATGAGCAAACTTACCACAATTGAGTGCAGCGAGTTAGTTTTGAGACGTCTCAAAGCCGACTTGCTGAGAGTGAGTGCAGCAAAGTGGCACACCAGGAATGGGGGATCGGACTGCACTCACAGTCGTTGTCGCGTTATGTCAGGCTTCTGTCTGTCTGTCAATGTCTGTCAACTTCTGTCAATGTCTATCAATGTCCGTCAATAAACGTCTGTCAATGCCTGTCTTTGTCTTCCAATGTCCTCCAATGTCTGCCAACGTCTGCGAGTATTTATCAATGTCTGTCAATGTTTGTCAATGTTTGTCGATGCCAACATCTGTCAATGTCTGTCAACGTCTGTCAATGTTTGTCAATGTCTGTCAATTTTTGTCAATGTCTGTCAATGTTTGTCAATGCCTACATCTGTCAATATCCGTCAACGTCTGTCTATATCCATCAACGTCTGTCTATATCCTTCAATGTCTGCCAACTGTCTGCCTGTCTGCCTGTCTGCCTGTCTGCCTGTCTGTCTGTCTGCCTGTCTGCCTGTCTGCCTGTCTGCCTGTGCGCATTGCCTCAGGGCCACTCCCCACTACGGGTGGGCAGAAGCAACGGCCAACTCGCTGCAGCTGCTGGCGATCGAACAGATGGAAAGAGGAGAGACGTGAGGGAGAGGGCAGAGGTGTGAGGGTGAGGGAAGGGAACTGAGGGAGAAAGGCGTCAGGGCCACTCTCCACAATGGCTGGGCAGAGGCGACTGCTAACTCTCCTGCAGCTGCTGGCAATCGAACTGGTGGAGAGGGGAGGAACGTGAGAGAGAGAGGAGGGACGTGAGGGAGAGGGGAGAGGTGGGATGGAGAGAGAAGAGGCATGAGAGAGGGGAGGGACGTGAGGGAGAGAGGGCGATACATGAGGGGAGAGGAGGGCCTTCAGGGAGAGAAGGGAACCGAGGGATGGAGGGGAACGGTCGAGGGAGGCGGGAGAGGGAGAGGAGGGTCACGAGGGAGAGATGAGGAAAATGAGAGGATGCACAGAAATCTGAGAGAGAAGTGGGCATATGGAGCAGGGGAGAGGAGGAGGTGAAAGGAGAGGAAGGAACGGCATGGGAAGGGCCGAGTGAAGGGACAGCAGCTACCCTACGTAGCCAGGAGGTGGGTAGGAAATGAAGTGTAGATGAATTGACGTCTACTTCCATCCATAGCGCAACCAGTAGTCTATCAATAATCTGGTGTATCTCACTCTGCTGTGATACTTCATTGGGATTGGAAGACCTCCATTTGGTGCACAAAACTTTCACGTTACTGTTTATATCTTTTAGGGAAAATTCGATCAGATCAGCCTTGTGCATTAGATGATTGCTTCAATTCCTCGTCACACATGATTGCTTGAAGGCTCCACGTTCGAGCAAATTGACTTGTTTTTAAGACTTTCTAGAAACTACCTAGACAGAATTCCTCCGTCCTTAACACGGCAGGGGCAGCGGAAGAGTTTATGCTAACGTATTCAAGATGTGCCAGTGACAATTGTTATCACTTGCAATCAAATTACACCCCATCAGTTGAACTCTATTGCACCCCTCAGCCAGCTACAGAAAGCTAACTACCCTCGAAGAGGGTTCGAGTACAACAGAAATCGCTATTTGGGCGGCTGAACACCTAAGCCATGCAGTGATAGGCATGGTTGGTTGCCTGAATTGCCACCCAGTATTATCAGACCAGCAGTTCACCCCTGAAATTAACGGAATGTTTACCAAGGGTTAGCGAAGGGTTTGCTCCTACATGGAATGTTTTACGGAGTTCGGATGATCCCCAAGTGAAGGGGAAAAAGCTCACGGGAATTTGTGAGGTATCGATGCGAGAAACGAAGCGACAGGAGTACAGGAAACAAAATGGGAAACGCTGCTGACATGGCTGGCCCTCAGCGTTGGTGGATATTTACCACACTGGACAGAGGACAGAAGCCCAGAGTCTTTCAGAGTGTGTAACAATGAAATCGTCACCGGGCCAGCCATGGAGAAAGCAGATGAGAAAAGAAACAATAAGCCACGGTGTGACAGGAAAGATGCGGAAACGAGCTTCGCTTCGAAAGCTTGAAATCACATTACGAGTTTGGTATCAAAAGAGCCAGCAAGAGGCATCCACGTGGCAAAGCCTCGCAAACAAGTCAGACAGGAGCAGCTGGATCAAGCAGAAGCATCATGCTAGGAACCATGGCATCAAGTCTAACCCCAATCTCGCGGTCGGCTCTGTTGTCGCCAGACTTTCGCAGGACATTATCAGTGCACCTTCAATCGGATCCTCACAAAGTATCGGAGTCCTGCTTCCACGTCAAAGCACAGGCGAGAATCCTCGGCGCATGTCACGCTTACTTGGATCTCTGTCTCATCTTTCTTCTCTTGCGCTTCAACCGCCGCATGCGTTTTTTCTTCCACTGCAAAACAAAATTATCGACATGGATATCAGTAAGCCTCGACTAGCTCGAAAGTCGCCGGACGCTAGAAAACCAAAGGAAATTACACATCAACGACGACGAACGATAGAAACACATCTTTCTGATGGCAGTGGAACTCGTAACCGATATCATAACAAGCTACGTGGAGGAAGCGGGATGGAGGGAGGTCTCTACCTTGGCTCTCATGGTCGCTGGCTGTGTTCTGCAGAGACTGAAAAGAAGGCCCTGCAGGAGAATATGAGGGCTCCAGTTCCTCCAGAGCACGGGGAACAGGGGGTTGGGGGAAATGGCTTGCAAGGAACTGGGGGGAGCTGGCTTGCGGAGAACTGGCTGGGAGAATCAGCGACACCAGGCGGGGAGGGCGGGAAGGGGAGGGGTGCGGAAAATGGGGGACCGAAAAGTGCAGCTGGGGAGAGGCGGAGGTACAGCTGTTCCCGAGGCTGCCCTGGTGGCGCCGCCGGAGAGCAAGATTGTGGTGTGGTGCACCACCAGCCAGTCCGCTACACCATGTGAGTCAATCAAGGATGTGATGACTTGGCATACATATCATTTCGGGATGACTCGTGGAAAAATCTAACACGTTCGAAAATACTAATGACAGGACGCGCATAACCTTGCTATTGCCCCGTAAGGCTATATGGAAGCATTGTACATCGTATGCCACAGTGATTCCGGATAAGTTGCAGAAGGCACTAAAAGCTTTATTTCAAATGACCTCATGATACTTCATGCATACTTGATTATTCAAGGGTTTCTGGCATTATCACGATTAGTGAACTTTCCCCACCTTAGACACAGTGACAATTGTCACGTGGGCATGGATTTCGCAGAAATTACAAGGCATAGGGGACATAATCTAGCACCTCAACATATTTGCAGAAGTTGACACGCTTTGGGATCCTGCTGGGTGAAGCCGATTTGGGGTTAGGGGTGGAATCAGGCTTGGCTTGGCAGGCTTCCCTGTGACCATTCGTTGGCTAGCTCCGGTGAAAACAATGCTGCAGCTAGTAGGGGGTTGAGTCAGGGCATGGGTGTGGCATGGCCTTGAAGATTGAAGAGAGGCAAGAAAGCAGCTGTTGTTGCTGCAGCTCAGGCTTGGCGGATGAGGAGCAGCCGGGCTGCTGCTTGTCGGCATCGGGGGGTGAGGAGAGGCAGGGAGGCTGCTGCACAGCGTTGGGGGTTGAGGAGAGGCGGGCAGGCTGCTAGTTGGTGTCGGGGGGTGAGGGGAGGCAGGGGGAAGGCTGCTGCTGCTCTGCTTTGGGGGCTTTGGAGAGGCAGTGTTGCTGCTGCTGCTGCTGCTGCTGCTGCTGCTGCTGTTGCTGACCGTTGTGCTGCTTCTAATCTGTCGCCCGTTAACGGCTCTCCGTCCTCCCACCAACAATGGTGTGCACCTACTCGCTTGTGGCCGATGGATAGACCGTCCCGTTGTGGATAAGACAGCCACATCATCATCTATGCAACCTGCCTGCGATGCTCCCGAGACCGGCTTGCCGGAGGCGGCCAGCCTGGCTTGGGCCGACCTTGTAACGGTCACATCATTAGCCCTCGCAAAAACGCGCGAAGCAGGACCCACGCCGTGCTTGCTGTCAGGAGAGGCACCGCCAACGGCGCTGGCACAAGATGGCCTGCTGGAGCGGGGCCCGGTCAACACCTGCGGACTCGTCGAGCCCAGTACCTCGACGCGCGACAGCGATTCTCCCGACACGGAATGCCGCCGCCGATGATGGAACGGGGACGAGGGCTTCACTGCACGGGGGTTCGAAGGCGGCGGAGGCGATAGAAGCGCGGCCTCGCACTCGGCGACGGAAAGCGCGCGGCGGGGAGACGGTGCCGGATTCCTCGCGCTCAGCGGGCTGGATAGGGGGGCGGGGGACGTTACAGGAGACGTTACACTGGGTGTCACTGCAGAGGTTAGAGGAGGTGTCACAGGAGAGCTGGGTGTGGCGCGTGCGCCTGGCGCGGAGCAGTTTGAGAGCCGCGGCGGACGACTCCGACCCCGACTCGTCGACGCTTCTGGCAGCCGCGCAGGCTCGGATGACTCGTCTGATATGACGACGAGCTGGCTGCTGCGGCAAGGGGCTGCGGGGCGAGGTTCGGAAGCACTCCTTCTGATGGGGTAGTCGAACTCGAATGATGACGGCATGTCGCGAAGGGTGATTGGCCGCGGAACGCTGCTAAGAGACGCCATGGATGAAGGCCGAGCGTGACAAGACAGTGAAGGTCGAGATCTCTGCGCGCGGAGTAGAAAACACGGTAAGTAAAGAAGTTTCCACCCTTGTATAAAGTGCGGACGAGCGGCACGGTCGTCGTCTCTATCAGCTCTGAATGCTCTCCGTCGCCGAAGCGTGGATCACTCTATGGAGCTCTGGTATCTGATGGAGATCCAGATTCGACGGTGGCCATCGGCCCTGACGTAAGTGTACGTGTATGCATGGAGCTCGCCGCAGGTAGAGCTCGCAACGGCGGTTATCGAGGCGGCTACTTTCATGAGAAAAAAAAAGTCGGGAGGAGGGAATTTCGCCGTGAGAATGAGCTCTCGGCACGTGGACCACACAAGGGTGAGGCAAGGGTACGGTAATGGGAGACCCCCGCATCGATCGGTCGAGAGACGAGATGGCAAAGAACCGATCTGCACCGTATTTGGGTTAATGTGTAAGTTAGTTCCTCCCGGGGAGGCGAGGAGTAGAGCGAGGGAGGGGTATGGAGAAGTGAGATGTGCCTGTCGAAGGAACCAAAGCAGGGCAATGGCTGAATCAAGCAGCCACTAGGATGGAGAGGAGCGAAGGGGACTCCCGTTGCGCAAGCTGGCACATCCAAGCTTCGTTGGTGGCAGTTCCAAGGTTAGCTGGTGGCGTGTCCAAGCTTCGCCCATGGCAGTTCCAAGGTTTGCAGGTTGCAATTCCAAAGCCAGCTGGCACGTAAAAGTTCAGGCAGGGGTACGAAGTTCTGCGCTTCGTTTTTGCTGCTCGATACCCTACCCAACCGATTTAGATGCTTATTTGAATCCTCCGTATCGAATAAAGCCTTATCCAACCGAGATCAAGCGTACTCTAGAAACACGCCCTAGCGACAAACCATCACATTGGGAGGATGAGGAAGAATGCCCCAATCGAGGGGTACTTGCTAACATGGAGTGTAGTATGAGTAGTTCCCGAGTAATTCACGCCTCAAGCGTTCTGTTTATTCATGAGGGAAATTCGACTATTCGAAGAATCACGGCTGAAACCCAGCGAGAACCGAGAAATTTCGGGTTCACAAGCATGAAAGTTACAACGACTTCTCTATTTTACCCGCTACCCCAGCCCGAAAATCATGGAATCAGAAAACGGAATTTAGAAAGCGATTGTTTCTCTGCGGACTTGCCCGAAATACTGGAAAACGCATTGGGTGGATGTCGTTTGATGGCAGGGTGGCACTGTGTCGCGTAGGGAACATGTATCCGGTATTTTATATCGCTCTCTTTCATATGTATTCATGAGAATCTACATGACCTCACATTAGAAACTCGAAAGTAAGGCAATGCCATGCAATTTGAAGAACAATAAATATTAAGCGCTTATCCTAGAGAAAGATTGTGGTTTAGTGTCCTAGACTCCTAGGCTACAAACAAGGCTGAAGTTCTAATGCAAAAAACAGCCAGTAAGTATTGCATATGGAACATACTCAAGCACCTCAATATATGGGGAAAACTTCACACGTCTTGGGCTTCTTCCAGGCGAACCCCGTCTGGGGCTGCAGGGCGCACTGAGGCATAGCTTGCCAGGTTTCTCTGCTGCCACCCTCTTGCTACTCATGCTAGCTTTGCTGGCAATGCTGCCACAACCCACTGGTGACTGAGGAGATGTAGGGAGGCTGTTGTCCGCACGACGACATACGGGAGAGGCAGGGAGGCTGTGGCACGGCCTTGGGAACTGGGGGGAGGCAGGGGGGCTGTTGCTCGGCATATGACGCAGGGTGGAAGACGCGCAGTTGCTGCTGCTGCTGCTGCTGCTGCTGCTGCTGCTGCTGCTGCTGCTGCTGCTGCTGCTGCTGATGCCGAGCCTTGGATTGTGAGGAGAGACAGGGCAGCAGATAGCCGCCTTTGAAGATTGAGGCGAGGCAGAGTTGCTGCCACCGCTCACCCTAGTGCTTTGGAAGGAGGCAGCAAGCGTGGTCGTGCGAGGGCCCAGGACCATGGCTTCCCCAGGACGACTGGGAAGGCTTGCTGTTGCATCTGCAGGCCTCTGAAAGGCACGAGAAGAAGCAGCAACGTACTCGTTATTGGCGACCCTGTTAGGAGTATTAAGGGTCACATTTTCCGCGCTGGGTTGGCGGGGGGTTGACACAAGCTTCGTGGGCGACGATGGTGTTCCCGAGAGGGAATGCCGCCGCCGGTGAAACGCGGAAGCAGGCTTCTTCCCGCGGGGAGGCGATGGTGTTAGTAGGAGTGCAGCCGCGCAATCAGCGGCGGAAAGGGCTCGGCGGGGAGACGGGTTCCCGCTGCGGAGGTGGGCGGGGGCGCTGGGTGTGACTCCGCGGCGGGGACTTTCCGCGACTGCGGGACGCGCTGGCGCGGAGCGGCCGAGCGGCGGTTCTACCGCTGGCCGTGGGACCCTTCCGCAACGGGTTGGGTGCAGATCGAGGGGCTGGTGGGTGTGAAGGCACGCCATGAGTGATAAGGCCGACGATATGGGTCAATAGGGACTGAAGCGGAGGGGAGAAGACGGACGATAACGATCCAGCGGAGCTCGTTTTGTGAATATCGAAATGCAGGCACGCTGCATTTTATGGAACAATTCCATCCAGTAAGGTCGTCATACTGCTTGCTGCCGTGGCTTCGACCACTGGTCAGAATGTTGTGGTTCCGCTTTGTTCACCGCCGAACCGGAGAATATCAAGTCCAGCACGATAAGCTGAGCTAAGCCGCTAAATCCTGTAGAAGCTGGCCAAAGGTTCGCGACCAAGTGGGAAAGTTGGCTGAACAACATTGAGTACGAAACGGCAACTGCTGAATAAGCTCTGACGTGGATTGGATCCTACTCGCGTGATCTGTACCTATGTTCACGTGAACGAATCGGGCTAGGGAACTCTCGTGGTGAGTACGAGGTACAAGCACGTGATGCAAATCAAGAACTAGATCTCAAGTTCGTCTGAGCTGGGGCATCCCTCGAGTTCACGACAACGTGAATATCTATCTCCATGGCGGACAAGGGGAGGGGAGGGGAGCGAAGCAAATGAGAGCGAGCAAGGAGGGGAAAGGTGAAGGGGACGATTTTCAGGAATGGGGAAGGGGGTGCGAGGAGGGAGGGGAAATCGTCGAGGGGAGAGAAAGGGGAAGGAGGGGTGTTCTCCCCACTGGGGTGCTGGGTGGGTTGGGGGTGGAGCATGGGGGGCTGTACAAACGATGCCCAGCCTTATCGCAGCTCAACCCAGCGCTCAATCAGAGATGTTTTCCAAAATCTCCGATGTACGGGCCATATGAGATCCGTTTGAGTCACTCATAAGTGAGTTTGCGACAGACATATAGCAAGGGACAAGTCATTGCCGACGTGGTTTCGTCGTCACGGAACTGTGCACCGCAGTCGTCTGATCGCCTCACAAGAGTCGCACACTGGCAACAAACATTGCCACACAAGTCCCCCCGCAAATACCCACACTTTTTGCCGTGTGCTCGTGCAAAAGCCTCATAAGCCTGTGGAGAGGGCATGCGAAATACTTGTGCGAGTGAATTTTCGGCACTTCAAACTCTTGTGCGACTCTGACGAGCATAGGCTGTACTTCGATTCCTCCCCAACCACCCCAGCGGAGCCTGGCAGAGAGGGTGTATCAAATGTCATGTCACGTGGCATATCAGCACTCGGTATTCCTGGCGGTGGCGCTCGTCCTGTGTGGGGAAACGGATTCGGTATTACATATATCCAAGGACGCAATAGTAATATAACATAAGCATGAAGTGTACATTGACTCCTTGCCTACATTACTGGTTTTACCCGAGGATTATTTCCTCGGCTTCGAAAAATGCTAATAAATTGCACGTATGTTCACTTTGAAATTTGTGGGGGGCACATTGGATTGATGTACAGAGACGAGTAGAGGTCAGCAAGGATGGTAGCAGCAGGGGTGGTAGCAGCCCCAACAAAAGCGGGAGAAACATCACTGGCGGCAGTGGGAAGAGCTGCAGCTGCAGGGCTATGTGTTAAAATTATATAAGTTATAATTTAATATAGGCTTGGTAGGTTGTTACTGAACCATTCTGTAGGGGGTACAAACCCCTCCTTGTACTCCTCTCTCTTCCTAATCCAATCTCTTCTTTCTCGTCACTTTTGCCTACTCCTAGATCTACTTGCCTCACGCCATTCCATGGCGTCCTTCCTTCCTTCCTAGCTAAGCTAGGTTCCTAAGTTTAGTTAGTGTCCTAAGCTTCTTTGAGATGGTATCAGAGCCGGAGATCCTTCCTGTTGGACCGCCTCCTCACGCTTCCGCCATTTACTCCTCACTCTCATTCGCTCGAGCGGCCATGGCGGCCGCGTTTTGCTGCAGTGGCGACGTCGCGCTGCCACTGGCCGCGTCATGCCGCGACCGGCTCGACGCGCTGCCGCGGAGTCGGGCCGTCGTTCTGCAGCCGCAGCGTCGACGTCGCTCTGTGACGGCGCCGTCGGGCCGCAGCCGGTTGCGCGACGCCTGTGACGCCGCCACCGCCCGCATGCCATCACGCCCACGAACTGTCGCGCCACACCGGGGGCTGCTGTCGCCCCGCCCCCTCCCCTCGCCCCCCCACCTGCACATGCTTCCCTTGCATCCCCCCCTTTCTTGCTGCAGCCGATGACTGCCTTATGAGGGACCTCTCTCTTAGAACTGAAGAATTGTTGAATAGAGAGAGAGTACAAGGGTATATACCTAAGAGTGTTGTACCCTCTAAGAGGCGACCCTATACAGTCTATACAAACATGAGTTATACTTATGTTTGACACACCCCCTAGACTGCATAGGGGAATGACCGGAACAAGCAGCTCAGGGCGGCACTACTAGTCCAACCTCTGAGACAAGGGTCTAAAAGACCAGTCAGACGGAGTTGAGACAAGGCAAGAACAAGACCAGGGCGGCACTACTAGTCCAGCCACTGGGAGAGGACACAAGTCCAGTCTGAGTATGCATATAAAGGACAGTACAAAGTCAAGGCCCTAGCAAGTGAGAGGCTACAGGAACTAGACCAAGCTGTACGCAGTGCCGCTGATGATCTTTAGGCGCAAGCGCCTTCGTAAAGATATCAGCTGTGTTGGCACCTGAGGCCAAGTGTACTATGCGAGCCTGGCGTCGCTGCTGTAGCTCGCGCAGAAGGAAGTATCGCAGCTGAATATGCTTCGCTCTGCCCTCGAGTCGAGGCTCCTGACACAGGAGAATCATGGCCCTGTTGTCAGCGAACAGGACCGGGGCAGAGCTAGGCTGCTCACCTAAGTCAGTGAGCAAGAAGGTCAGCCAGCGGAGCTCCTGTGCCGCCATGGCACCAGCGTAGATCTCAGCCTCACAGCTGGACTGGGCAACAGATGAGGAGCGGGTAGCTCTCCACGAGACGGCACCTGAGCCAAGGCTGAAGCAGTAGCCCTAGGTAGACCTGAGTGTCTCGGCATCGTCTGCCCACGAAGCGTCTGTGTGTCCAGTAAGGACCACTGGCCTGCGTCCTCCTAGCACTAACCCCATGCCCGATGTACTAGCAAGATAATCCCTCTTAGCGGCAGACCAGTGCTGCGGTCGGTGTCTGCCTGTAGCCACAAAGCGAGCCAGGATGCTGAGAGGGTACGCGAGATCTGGGCGAGTGCAAGTCATCAGGTACATGAGGCAACCCACCAGCTCTGCGTAGGGGCCGCTGGGCTCAACCGACTCCTCAGACACTGG